CAACTAAGATCGGGAACAAATGTCTTTAGCAACGTATTTTCTGAGACATGGGACTTTAGCGCATATTTGCCAATTGTACAAAATTCATGTATGGACTTTTCTTTATCAGATCTACAGTCAAAGAAAGGTATCATACTAGACAAATAAAGGAAGTGACTCGAACTTGACCTAAGCAACTTGATAATAGATACGTAAAAGAGAGTACTCACACCTTCAAAAACCACTTATAGTTATTTATTTACTCAGCAAATTGACTAATGGATATTAATAAATCTTGTATCGGCCATCTTGTCAGACAGCTGTCTATATTAAGGTCTGTAATAGTGGTAAATGTCGTTAATCAGTGAGAAGCACTCGCCAGTCATTTCCTACTTCAAAATGGTGCGATGTCCGCAGGTACGGGAATCCAGGGCTAGTGATGTACATACGTATCGTATATGATTGTTAGTTGTCGATGTTTTGCTATTGTTTTTGTTTTTGAGGATTGTATGTTTGTGTTTATTGAAAGGTTGTGAATTGGAGGATGAAGAATATAGCAGAATGAGATTTTAATTTTCTGTTTGCTTAAGTTTGTGTTCGGATTTTAATTATTTAAATTATTTAGTTACCATTCACAAACGGTGAAATAAAACATCGTAAGGAAACCTGGACTTATAATTTCTAATTATAAGTTTGATATCACCGATCTGTCTTGAGCAAGTGTGGTGATTAATGATCAAACCTTTTATGTGTGAGAAGAGGTCTTTTTTCAGCTGAGGGTTGCGATGTAGGTTGAGTAGACAAAATGTAACCACTAACAATTCTAACTACTCTTCGATATCGATAAACAAATGCCACCTTTTTTCCCTTCTCTACACGTACCAGGGGCGAAGGTAGATATTAACTGATGTTATCAGCTATGCATGATGTAATTTGAATGCAGTTTTCGTTGTTGCCAACATTAAACGGGGCCCTAAACGTACGTACTTAGGTATTGATCAAATATATTGTACAGTCAGTGAATTTAGAGGCAGGAAGGAGTGATCGAAGATATATTATGTTTGGGGATAGTCCATGTTTTGTCAAGAGGGGATATTGCGTTTTTTGGGGTGTTGACGTGGCATTTTCAGTTTGTTTTGTTGATTATATATATTATAGTCATGTTTGTATTCTTGGATCCATGGTAGTTTCCATAAGCATTGGCAAGCGGTCTAATGTTTGGTCGCATGAGCTATTACAATCTGCATTTGGCATTTATTTTGTCTTTATTTCGGTATTATAACCTCTATTTTATTTACAAAAATCTCTCCCAAATCCTTTATTAAAATATAATCCTTAATCTTATAGGGAAACAGGTAGAAGTTAAGCCTTTGACTGCCGACAGAAAACCGCTGAAGGCAAATCCTTCGCTAACGTAGGTCACTTAAGTTTATATACATAAATAGCTATTTAACGTAATTACCTATATAATTATGAAAACTAGGTTAATAAATAACAAACGAAATAATATTTATAAATCATGAAAACAGCTATAAACATGAGTAATGTCTGCCATAAAATATTCCTGGCTACAGGAATACCTTAATCCTGTAATAATTACGCTAACCCAGGAGAGCACGTTTTAATAATTTATTGCAACATAACTAATTATAATAAGTGTTATATTACAAAGGCGTAATGATTGCAGTGACTTGGTCAACTGAAGATTCAAAGTACCTTTTTAATTTTGAAAATACTTAGAAAAACTGCAGTCTGCGCATGATATAGGTATATATGGCACTATTAAAGAAATGCTTATTTATTCTAGTGACAATGTTGATTTATTTTAGTGTTACAAAAGCCTAACAATGGTTGACGTAAAAATCACTGCTTCCAAGCTGTTAATAACAATATAATAAATTAGATTTTAATTTCTAAGTAATTGTGTTTTAACACGAAACTGTATTTAGCAGGTAGTGCCGTTGAGTAAATACATTTTAGAAGGTCTACTTAATTTAAATTAGATTATTATTAATTACATCATGTTCAGTTTGGAGAAGTCACTGTTGAAATATGGGCTTGAGCCTCTTGTACATAAGATGGTTTGACATGATTTTGTCGCATAGTTTGAAATAGGTAGCTGGGTTACCGGCCGCACAGTGCGAGTTTGATTACCGCACAGGACAAGTCTTTCTGTGATCCACAAATGGTTGTTTCGGATCTGGGTGTCCTGTTTATGTGAAATTGTATGTTTGTAAACGCACCCACGACACTGGAAAAAATCCTTGTGTAGGGCAAACGTTTTATAAAATAAATAAAAATGTTCAGATTTGTCACAGAGCGCTGCTGACCAGTTTACTGTCTATTTTTCCCTTTACGTTTATAAAAGAAGCAATTATTAACATACTTTGAAAATATTCCACAAGTCCTGCTTATCATTTATCAGAGCAGGTAAGATTTGTATGGTTTTTTAAATTATACCTTCTGTAAAAGCATTTTTTTTCTTTAAGCACGAAAGTTGCTGACAAAGCCGAATTAAAACGAAATTACACAGAAATTATATTACCACATACGTGATAGACATTCATAACAATGTGTTTGTGATGTCACGTTACACGTTTTTACGACTACCCTCGTCATCTGTCTGCTTTGCTAATATGGTTCTTAATTTCATTAGATTTTGTTTAACTAGGCTTTGGTTACTTAATTTAGCAAGACAAGGTTTATTGAAAGAGTTATTTATGCAATAAGTTTTGTTTTCTTTAAAGCCAAGAATACACTAGGGGCCAAATGTACCAAGACATGTATCGGCGACATGTTAAGCGAAGCCTGCCGATTTCGCCCGACATATTATAAGGCGACAACGCGCGACTTTTGTCCACAGTGACGTTGGTGTTGCCTGACATGTCGACCAAAGTCCGGCAACGTCGCGGTACGTGACCCAACGTCGCTGGTGACGCGTGTCGCAGGCCATTTGTATACTAGTATAACCTAAGCTTAAATGATTTGGCCTAGGAAAGTACTCCTGGGGTTTAAAAAAATCCCAGTAGTAGCACGGAGGTTAGAATTGTGCCCGGTATATGGCAATAGGCTCACCCCGTATTACATGGGACTCATAAAATAAATAGTGAAAAGTGGGTGTTACAGTGTACAGTGGCATTAATGTGGACCGTAATGTTTAACGAAAGGAGTTTCTTGTTCGTTCTTCTCCATTCGAAACTACCTTTAGGAATAAACACCTAGTTTCACTTATAAGTAGACTACCGGACAATTCCAATTCAATTTAGACGTTGACGGCCTACCCTTTTTTTTTCTTTTTTTTTTTTAACGTTACCCCACTCTAGGATTATCTCCTGTGTCGTGGGTGCGTTTACAAACATACAAGTTCACATACACATGACACCCAGACCTGAAACAACAATTTGTGGATCACACAAAGTGTTGTTCCGTGCGGGAATCGAACCCGCGACACGTTGCACGGCAGCCGGTTGCCCAGCCACCGCACCAACCGTGCAGTCAAGTCCTTTGGAGATAAAACGCGTAATGTTATGTTAAAACTAGATTTCTTTATTTAATTACGCCTTCACTGGTGGTAATATTAGACATACAACTGTAGTGTTATTTGACACAGTAAGTTCTAAACCAATAAATTGTACTCAAGATCTCGCATTAGTAGATCTCGCACTTAATGTTTGAGATTAAAGTACTCACGGAGCAATGTCTCAGCAAACATTGAACTTTTGTTAATATGTAGAGCTTAATAAGAGAATTAGTATAAGATAAATGTGCTTGTGTCTTATGGTAGACATTTAGACAGATGTTTCAAGTTGTTCTTAAGGGAGAAATTCATCGAAACCGATACGACCTTCAAACCTTCAAGAAAAGAGCGTATTCCTTTTTAAAAGGCCGGCAACGCACCTGTGACTCTTCTGGTGTTGCGGGTGTCCATATGCAGCACCGTCGCTTACCATCAGGTGATCAGTCTGTTCGTTTGCCTCCTATTCCATAAAACAATATCCAACGTATTCTCCCACCGAGGTGAGGCGGGAGGGAGTGTCAGACTCTTACTGACTAAAAACAACCCCGTTCCTACTCCTGCATTTCGACCCGTAGCCCTTGTAACCTTTTATATTCTCCGCGGCTCCGTATCAGCATCAGCCCTATTGGGCCCCATCCGTGGTGGTCTGATGGTTCATTGAATATTGCAGGTGGCGTGATAGTGACAAGTAATAAGTGACAAGTAGTCTATGAATAACTAGCTTTTAGCCGCGGCTCTGCCCATGTAAGGAGAACGGTATTTCAGAATAAAACCACGTAGACGGAATAATACAAGAAATTTGTTCAATAGAAACTTTATCTTTATATAAACATGAATCTTACAAACAATACTTTCGCATTTATAATATTATTTATTTATTAACTCTTTAATGCACAACAATAAGGTGCATACATAACTTAATGGCAGACTTAATGCCATATGGCGTCGCGGAGAACCTAACGGGTAACCGGGGCTCCGGCTCCACGTGCAGGAGTAGAAACGGGGTGGTTTTTAGTCAGCAAGAGTCTGACACTCCCTCTCGCCTCACTCAGGCGAGAGCAGACATTCGATAATTTTCCCCCCTTAAAAAAAATGCCATATGTAATTTTCTCCCAGTCAACCTTTGGGTTAAGTAGAGAATCAGAGGAAATTGGCTTGCGTAACAGACAGAAAAAAATAACTAAATACTCTGTAACGTATTTAAAACATAAATAGCGATATATGCAGAGTGATTTGTAATTAGACCACAAACTCGTTTGGGGCCATAGAACAGATCAATTCCAATATTTTTGTCGATGTAATATTAGTCGGAATTTGGTATATTTGTTATTTCTTTTAATAAGTACACAGATACAAGTTTAAATAAATAATTGTTACTTAACAGGTTAACCGCCACGTAGGTGACCGGTGACCTACGTTAGCGGAGGATTTGCCTTCAACAGTTTTCTATCGGCAGTCAAAGGCTTAATAACTAGTATTAAAAATATTTTTTCTTTGTCCTCAGATGTACAGGCGTGAATCATTGCAACTTCGTGCTGTACGAGGACTACCCTCCAGCCAAGAGATGGACGCCCGGCGTCGTGTATATAAAATATGCTTGTTTTGATGGTAAGTTAAAATACTTTAAATATCGTTTTTAGTTACAGAACCTGGAGCTTTGGCTACTAGAATAATAAGCTTGAGCTGTTAAGCCCTATTAAGTACGGCCCCGGAATAGAAATGTTTCCTAAATTTTATTTTAATGTCCGTCTGGTACATTTATTTAAAACATTAGATACGTATTTTTATTGAATTAAATACTTTTGACGATATATTAATTTGAAATATCGTGTAGACCATTCCTAAATTTAATGCGATTTTATCTAAGTATTGCAACTTTTCACGACAAAATAAAAAAATACGTGGGAAGAACCTCTCTGATCTATATTAGTATGTAATGGAATTAAGAAAACACATTACGCAACATCATGCAAATGTAAATTATTTCGCAAACTGAAAAGTCAATTTTATGAACACATTTAAAAATATCACATGAGCTCACATAAAATGAATTAGCTGAAATATTTGGAGCTCAATTCATTTCATGAAACTGTTAGCGTATCACATATATCCGCCATTTTAGGGTATTTCTGTTTTCAGTGGACTTAATTAAAATAACTGAATGTTGCAGGCACGTACGTAACTGAAATAAATGGAATTTATATTAAAGATGGAGCTCATATTTCCAGACTATGTTTTTAATGAAAAAGAGTTTTGTGAATGTAATAAAATAGGGAATGTTTTTAATATAGAAAACGTACCGTAACAATCGTGGAAGAGCCATGCTTCAGCACGAATGGGCTTGCTCGACTGGAGTGATACCACGGCCTCACATAAAACCGACGAGAAAAAACGCCTTTCGTTGTGTTACGTCGTGTGAGCGAGGTTACCGGAGGTCCAATTACACCCTCGCCCCAGTCTCGCCAATCCCCGAATCCCCCACAATCCTCATATTCTCGATTCCCAAAAGGCCGGTGACGTACTTGTAACGCATCTGGTGTTTTAGGTGTCTATTGGCGGCGCCGATTGCTTACCATCAGGTGATCCGTCTGCTCGTTTACCGGCTAATCCCATTTTTTTTTATTTTGCCTTACACTAGCATGGTCTTCTGTATCGTGGGTGCTTTTGTAAGCATACACATCACACCTAGACCTGGAAATACAGTTTATGGGCCGTGGAATTGAATACGCCACACGTTGCCCCGATGTGGAAACCTTACAATCTCGAGCTTAATTAATAGCTAGTCTAAACTAGCTATTATCGAGCTATCGAGTTGTTAGCCTTAAAGCTAAACACGTCTTTACTTATAATATAAAAAAAAGGAACACTGCTAGACACAACTCGATGCTATAAACCCTATTCTGATAAGCATCTATCATTATAACACCCTTCATTCACTATTTTAATAATTTATTTAAAGTGCTAGCAATTCAATTAATTAAGGTAATAGTTATTTATTACCCGAAGGGACCATCCCATCCCTTCAGGTGCATATTCAATTCACCCAATTTTTAGGAAATAATATTTTATTTTGGAAATTAGAATTTGGAATTGTGCCCGGCTCACCCCCTATTACATGGGAATCAATAATGAAAAGTGGGTGTTAGATTGTACAGAGGCATTAAGTGCCGATGTGCAACTCTGCCTATCCCTTCGGAGATAAAAGGTGTGATTTTAAGTGCTTAGTATTATCAATATTTCAACCATAAGACGTCTATTGCTGAACGTAGGCCTCCCGAATGACTTCCATATCAGCCGTTTGGAATCCACTTCCATCCTTTTAACACTCACTCTAAGGTCTCATTGGCTCGTGCAGTGGATCGCTCGATTCCCTACAATATGGTTGAGTTGGGCGTTGCTGGTGTACGTGTCATGTTCGTCAACGGGCACAGTCAACAGGGACTGGTCAGCTCCAGACTGTATTTTTTTTAATGTCCTTTAAGGTTATTTTTTTTCGATCTCTTTGACTGTATTTTAGTGTTACATTGTTCTCGCACAATCCAAACAACAAAACTATGTAACTAGAGAATTGTATTGTGAACCTGATTGAAAAAGAGTATCCTATGGAGTTCCTTGCTCGTTCTTCTATAGGAATCCTATAGGAAATCTCTTCTATAGGAAACCTTGGAATGAGCAAATAGCTTCACTTTTAATTTTTTTTGTTGACGTTTAAAAGTGCATTCTGGTCTAATTGAAATAAATTATTTTGACTTTCATCATCATCATCATCATTATATCAGCCACAGGACGTCCACTGCGGAACATAGGCCTCCCCCAATAACTTCTCCCATTTTGACTTTGACTTTGACTAACTCACCATACATCATAATAACACCCTCCATTAAATTAATGACTTATTCAAAGTGTTACCAGTTTAATTAACTAACGATTATTGCTATAAAAATAATATAAGTTATTGAACACATGTTGTGTCTGGGCGTGAAATTGATTTATATTGTACCGCGTGGACAGATGTACCATTCTACCAATAGCAGGTCAACCTCCCCCACTCTATTAAAGGATTTTCGACCTTATAACAGAATAATAAAGTTGTTATTCTAATAAAGAAATGTTACAAGTTGGGGTAGTTTGACTTGCAGTCGACTGTACACTTGGTTCAAATCAACCTATATAAACCAGTGTATTTTGGTCTAGCTTCGTATGATCTTTTCGCACATTGAGTGGTCAGTAGATTCTGGCTATGTATAACTTCATGTGTAGTCGATTTGAAATGTAGAAGATGCCATATGTGGCAAAACAGTGCCATAGGGGTGTAAATTGGGGTGCGGTGCCAGAAGACCTCCCCGTGGTGCACCCTGGGTGCGGGCGACAGTCTCCCTAGCGGGGGTGATAGGGTTGGAGTGACTGTCGCCCGCAGCAGACTTCTGGACTGGGCGGGCGAACCCGATAGGGTTCTGGAGGCGGCGGGCTGTGTGCTCATGGCCCGCGCTTCCGTGGGGCGTTTCTCCGCCTGTCTCTCTGATTAGCAGAGAGCGTGGCGGAGAGGCAAGGGCGGTGCTCGTTGTGCACTCACCCTGCCAGCGAGCAGCATCGGGACACAAGCTGTCCCCGATTGCAGCCGTCGATATCGTAATCCGTAAGGAGGTCACGGTCATGTTTTGTGACTCTGAACGGGACGAGGGTCTTGGCTTGGTCGCCCGGACCGCGAGGAAGATAACCTCTATAAAAAATTCCTCCAATACTAAGTTCTGGTGCGCGGCGAGAGTATGCATGGCTGAGGAGTAGTGTCAGTCGCGAGCGCACCCCCAGCTAGGGGACCAGTGGAACCTCTAGTTGGGAAACAAATTAACACTTACCCAGGTACAGGGGGCACTGCCTGGGTGGACCGAATATTTCCCCCATACTCGTGGGAACTGTATGGAGAATTTAAAATTAAAAACAAAACCACAAGACGAGAAGGAGGGTGCAGGTGGGCTTGGCTCGCCTGCAGTAGTAGGAGAAGGGAGCCCAAGTGGTGAGGCGCTGGACTCGTCCAGCAGGCCCCACACACGGGAGTCTAGTCGGAGGGGGTCGGACTCAGAGTCCGACACATCTCTGGCGGAACGGCTGAGCGTGAGCTCGAAGGGCTCACGCCGCCGCGCGACGGGGTCGTTTAAACGCCCCAGGTTGGAGGAGGACAATTTGTCCCCGTCCTCTGGCGCGCAGGAGGCGCCTCCCCCTAAGGTCCCCACGGCGGCGCGGGGTAGGGGTGGCAAGGGCGGCGGTCGGCGGAAACCGGCACCAGCTGCCCGCGTGGAGTCAGCCGAGCAGCTGGCTGCGGAGGGCAGGGCTCTCTCGAGCGCTGCCCGTTCAGAGTCCTCCGCAATAGAGATGTCGGAGAACGAGCTCTCCGAGAGTGAGCGCAGCTCCGAGAGCCTCCGCCTGGCCGTGCAGGAGGAGCTCCGCAAGGTGGCCTCGAAGAAGACGGTGCAGGCCCGAGTCGCCATCTTGAACGCGGCGGAGTCCGCCATCATGGCGGCGGCCTTGGAGCGGTGTGCGCTGCCCACCGCTGACAGGGTACAAAAGGAGCTGGGGGAGATGCGGCGGGAGTTGGCGCGCTTGGCGGCCTCCAACGCGGCTCTGGAGGCCGAGCTGCGATCGGCTAGGGTCGAGCTCGCCGCTGCCCGGGAAAGTCATCCCCAGCCCCAGCCCTCAGCGGATGCCGACGTGGTCGGTCTGCTGCGCAGGGAGATGGCGGCTTTCCAGCGTCGTTTCGACGTGCTGGAGGGCCGACTCCTTCGCCCCCCGCTAGCGTCGAGTCAGATCGCCCCACCTGCGTCCCCGCGCTCGTATGCGGCCGCTGCGGCCAAGCCCTCGACCTCCACTGGTCAGGCTGTCCGCGGTCCCCAACCGCCGGCAAAGGCGCGAGCGCCTCCTCCCGCGAGGCCCTCGGCGCCCCCGCCTGTGCAGACCCCGGCTGCGCCGACGGCGCCTGCGCCCGCGGGACGCAAAAAAAGGAGGAGAACTCCAGCCCGGCAAGCTGGAGTTGCAGCAGCGGCGGCGGAACCCGCCCCACGAGTGGAGGACGGCGGCGGGTGGCAAATCGCCGGCGAGACGAGGAGAGTCGCCAGGGAGGGCCGGAAGCGCCGCAAGAAGGCGCAGCGGCAGCGACGGCAGCAGCAGCGCAGGGAGAAACGCGCTGCTGCCTTGCTCCTCGCCCCTAAGACCGCGGCTGTGGTTATTACCCTGCAGCCCGAGGCGGTCAATAGGGGCGTTACCTACGGCGACGTCCTCGCCAAGCTCAAGGGGGCGGTAACACCTGCGGAGTTCGGGGCCCCGGACGGGTTTGCGGTCAAGGTGACCGCTACCGGAGCCCGTCTACTGGAGGTCCCCGGCGCGACCAGCGGCCCGTCGGCCGACGCCCTGGCTGAGAGGCTTAGGGCGTGCCTCGGGGCAGACGAGGCTCGCGTGTCCAGGCCCACTAAATGTGTGGATGTTCGGATTTTGGGCCTGGACGACTCCGTCACGGAGAGTGAGGTGGTGGCCGCTGTGGCCAGGACGGGAGGGTGCCCTGCTGACCAGGTCAAGGCGGGCACCATCCGTCCGGACAACTCGGGGCTGCGCACGGT